TAACCTCTGAGGACAGGACAAGAAGCAGTGGGCTAAATTGCAGCAAGGGAGGTTTAGGTTGAACATTAGGAAAATCTTTCTAACTGTCAGGGTGGTTAAGCACTGGAATAAATTGCGTAGGGAAGTTGTGGAATCTCCATCATTGGAGATTTTTATGAGCAGGTTAGACAAACACCTGTCAGGGATGATCTAGATAATACTTAGTCCTGCCATGAGTGCAGGAGACTGGACTAGATGACCTCTCGAAGTCCCTTCCAGTCCTATGATATATATAATTAGCCTAAGCTAATTGGGTACCCCAAGGTTCCACATGACTGATGTTCATTAACACATTTGTCAATTATCTGGAAAAGGGGGAAACATCTATAGATAACACAAAATAATTTAGGTTAGCTAAGACTAGTGAAGATGCCAAAGAACTTCAGAGGACCTAATAAAGCTCGGGGAACTGGCAGCAAGATGACAGATGAAATTTATTCTTGACACATGCAAGGAAATGCACACTGGAAGAAATAAGTTGAATTTCTCCAACACATTGTTCTAATGATTTGGGAAAAAGACCTGGGTGTCACTACAGACAGCTCAATGAAAACCTCTGCTTAATGTGCAGCAGCTGCTGTCAAGAAACAGACAGACTGTTAGGTTATACATAAACAATAGGATAGAAGATAACACTGCAAATGTTATAATGATATAATATATGTCTATGGTATGCCATCACCTGGAGTACTGTGTTCAGTTCTGGTCAACCTATCTCTAAAAAGATACAGCAGAAACAGAGCAGGTGCTCAGGTGGGTGACAAAAATGACTATCAGCATAGAATGACTTCCAGATGAAGAGAGACTGGGGCTGCTTAGTTTAGACTGGGGATGAATAAGATGGGGAATGATGGAAGTATACAGTAGTGAATGGTATACAAAAGGGTAAATAGGAGCACTCACCTGACCTTTCCCATAATGCAAAATAAAGGTGACAGTCAATTAACTTAAATGGCAGAAAATTTAAAACTGATAGAAAGAAATATTATTTATGCAATAGAGCCAGCAACCTTTGGACTCAAATCATGGACTCAAATCATAGAGCTATCATAAAAGCTTCATGTAGATGATGAGACTATCCATAGTTACATTAGGTAGGATATAGTATATATATTATGCTATATACAGGCAATATAACCCCTTATGGTTTAGGGCAAAAACAAACCCTAGTTGAGGGGATTGTGAAGGAATGTCCTTTCTGGGCAGGTTATTCCATAATTGTCCATTATGGATTTTTTTGCATCGTGCTCTGAAGCATCTGGTTCTGGCCAGTATCAGAGACAAGTTACTGGACTGGATGGATCACGGGAGGATAATTCCTATGTCCTAGATATACAGTGTTGAATGAAATGTTGCCAAACACTTGGGGAGACTTTACATAATGGCAGGTTTCAGAGTAGCAACCGTGTTAGTCTGTATCCGCAAAAAGAACAGGAGTACTTGTGGCACCTTAGAGACTAACAAATTTATTAGAGCATAAGCTTTCGTGGGCTACAACCCACTTCTTCGGATGCATATGCATATGGTTGTAGCCCACGAAAGCTTATGCTCTAATAAATTTGTTAGTCTCTAAGGTGCTACAAGTACTCCTGTTCTTTTTACATAATGGGTCCACCTGGTGTTTCTGTGGAACACTGCAGGGTTTCCCCTCCCCACGAGCACTTTCCAGGAACCCACCCCCAAACATCCTTCTTGCTCCGCCTCTGCCTGACCTTCAGAGCTGCTACAGCAAATCTGCCAACATCAAAGCTATTAGCAGCCTTCAAGCAGGATACTGAGGGGGTGGAGGGCATGAGTGTCTAATGCCTCCTACACCAGATGAATCAAATTTTTTAAATTTCCTTTCAAGGAGAGAAACAAATGCCCCTCTTTCCCCAATATGCAGAAGAAAAACAAGTGTAAATTGTGGCTATTGCTTTGGAAAATGACTGAGGTGAAAAAAAGGCATGAATGCGCAGGAATTTGGGGAATTTTTCAAACATTTTTCTTGGTCTGTTTTGCCATGTAGGTATAAAGGTTTCATTCGGTCAAGGCTGTATGTTTTGGCTGCAAATGTTGCTGAATATTCTGGTTTAACAAAGCAGAAAGGGGATATGCAACAAAAACTCCAAAAATGGCATTACACAAAGGGTTTTATTTTGCCTTGTTGCAAAACAGATGTAAGGCCCAAATGATCAGAAGCGGCCACTGCATTGGGGTGCCGCAATTCATGGGTGTCCAGCTTCAGACACCTTTGGGCTGGTTTTCAAAGCAGCCCCAATTCTAAATGACATTAATAGGAAGCACAGGCTCTCAGAAGCTCAAAGTCAGGTCCTAGGTGCCATCAATGGGGCACCCAAAAAGTGAAGACAGACCAAGTTAATGGCCACTTTTGCAAATGTTGACACCACAACCTCAAATCGTCCAGCTTTCCTTCTTGTGTCACACTCAGACCCATGTCGCCTCCTCGGTGCCTGTCCAGTCCATATCCCCCGGACACTCACCTTATAGCACAACTCAAAGCGCTCCCATTCCCTCTCCTCCATGCTGAGAAATACACGATTGTTAGACACTTCTAACTGCAAGCACAAAGCTAGATTTTCTGCTGGCAAAGGGCTGGCAATGCACTTTGCTGCCTTCTCAGCTATCCTGGCATGGTCTGATTTTCAAAACCAACCTTAGCTTGGTCTGGGCCAATTTCTACTTACCCGTGAGCTCATTTTCTCTGAAAAGGGGACCTATTTCCAAGTTAAAAGTGTGTAAAATATAGCATATTTTGGGGGTGACCTGAAACTATTTTCAAATTAGTAATGACATGGCGGGAAAGCTCACATTTCAAGCAGCTTTGACTTTCCTGCCAAGCAAACTATTTAACATGCCTGTGCCATCAGGCTTTGAGTCTGTGAGCTCATTTCTGGGACAGGATTGCATTGGCTCTCTGTTACCATGCCTGGATCTGACAAACCAGATAAAAAGAGGGCAGTGTGAATCAGAGATCTATTTCCGCCGGCTGATAATTCCTAAGCATATCCAGAATGTCTAAGTGGTGATATCAGCTTGCCTTCTAAGACACTGGAGGTCCCTTCTCAGAAAAGCTGAACGAAGGAGAGGAGTCAGAAGAGGGCAGTGGTGAGGAAAACCAGAGGAAAGGGAAGAAGATAAAGATTCTTAGCAGAGTTTAATGCAGTTCCTTGGGTCGCCAAGCAGTGGGTGTGTGTAATGAGAAAAAGATTTCAGTTTTACAGTGAAGACAAAAAGGTGGGATTTTCAAAGCCCATAGAAATTAACAGGAATTGGGCATCCAAATCTCCTTGGCCAAGGTGAAAATCACACCCAGAAAGATTTTCTCATCCACCTTCTGCATAGGATGTTTTTTCACAGCTCATCCCAGGTTATTTGATAAAGCCACAAGGGCAGGTATGCCCTGCAGGGAGATGTGCAAAATAGGTCAGCAGGTGAAAAGAGAGAGCTTTGGCTTTAAAGCGATTGGCTTCCATCTGTATTTGCTGAACTACTTGTTGTCAATAAACTTGTTCGGCTGCACTGCCCAGCTTCTCCCTCTGCTGGAACTTCTGGTGAAGTCGCAATCAGGTGCTTGTGATGCCACTAAAATAACTGTGAAGCAACAAATCCAGCATTATGGACTTTAAGCAGAGGAATAAGGAGAATGGAAGGTGGGCGGGGGGAAATATTTGGTTAAACAAAGACAGTCAGATTCAAATATCCTTTTTCATGTTGAGTAGTAATTTACTCCTCAAATAGTCCCATTGATTTCAACAAAAGCTACTTGTGCAGTAAGCTACTACTCCTGGGGAATGAAGGTGGAACAATCTGGCCCAAATACATTTGATACTTCTCAAAATGTAGGAAAGGCACAAAACCAAAATCCACTTTCCTAATAAGATAGATTTTAAAGTTTTCTACAGTATGAAAATCCTGCTTTAAAGCTGCTAAAGGCAACTTGCCCACAACTATTTGTGACCTTTTCTGCTTGTTTTCCACATCAGAAATTTAGATCTGGTCTTCCCTGTTCTCCCCCGAAAGATTCTGTTGTGGACTGGAGAAGCAGCAGGATTAGGACATCACAAGTAACAACAGACAAAGCTGAGCAGCTGAGAGGGGCAGGGCTATTTAGTTAGACTGCTTAAATGTTAAAACCCATTTAATTCAAAAGGGTGGAAAGAACGTGGGAGAAAAGCTCTCTTTTGAAAGATACAACGTTCCTTCTTTTGCAGCCAGTCCTGTGGTGAGTGCTCCAGAACAAACTGACAAGATGAGATACTCCTGGTATTTCTAAAGGAGAAAGCAGGGAAAAGCCACCTTTAAAAAAACTGTCAGGGCTTCCTTGTATATCAAAAAGCAGAAAGAATACACAAAGAATTTCCCTTTTGCAGGTTACCTTTAAAAGAGGGACCAATAGATACAGGACAGAAGAGTGAGGCTAAAAACAGGTAGTAAAAGGAGAGAGAGTTAAGCGGGAGAAAGAAAAAGCAAAGAAAGATTAGGGAATTATTTTGAGGAAAGGAAAATAGAAGAATGAAAAGAGTGGAAGAGTAAGTGTGTTTGAGAGAGAAGAAGAGAGTGCAAAGGAAAGAGGCCTGCTTCCACTCCTCCCCCTCCCCCAGCTGCTGATCCCAAATCGGCTCCCAGAGTAACCTAAAGGCTGGCATTCAGTGAATAGCATCTAGCCAGCAGACTGTACCATTCAAACTTTCTGCAGGGGAAGGTGAGAGCTGCTCAAAGAATTACAATTTAATCCAATATCCCTTCCCTAAAGGGACTACATCCAAACCTCAAAAAAAAAAATTTTTTTTTTTAAAAATACACAATCCTAAGGAATGACCAAACGAGTTTGTTGATTCTAAAGTGCAGGAGCTCTGTAGGTTTGGCTGGTTCATTTAAGTTGTTTTGGCTTTGTCTGTTTCTGCTATTCCCATCCTAGCTGCCACCTCTCCCCCCATCCTACCTTAACCCCCCTCTTCCCCTCCCCCAAGAAGTAAGGGACTGGAAGACAACAGAGAGCTATGGAAGGGCGCGCAGCAAGAGGGAAAAGACAGGAGAAGGAGACACCCCTGTGCAGCTTGAGTATTAGTCAGAGAGGTACAAAGCCAGGGGACTGGCTGCAGCCTCATGGGATTGTCCTGAAAAGATAACAGCAGCTGTAGGAGCATACAAGGGGGGAAATGATCAATCAATGATCTGCGCTAACTCTGAAGAGCTATCCTGCAGCCTGTGTTATGCAGCATTTCTTGACAGCTTCTAAGGGAAAGGTCAGTGCTCTCAGGTCCTTCTAATCTGGACAGCCTATCCCCTCTTCCCATCTTTCAAGTTTGATTTCACAAAGATCTGGAGAAAAGCAAAAGGCTTTAAAGCAGCCAGGGCATGAGGGTGTGAGATGGTCTGGGATGCTGCTAAAATAAGGTGGTCAGTGTCAAACCTGATCATTCATGATCATTGTCTCTGTCTGTTTGCTGGGGTATCCCAACAATGGAAGAGGGAAATAGCTCTGTGAATGTATCACTTACTGATCTGCAGGTAGGGTTTTAATACTGAGTTTTCTGAAACTTTGTGCTTGTTGGTACAAAACTGAGCCACTGAATTTTACATCCTTCTCCAGACAGGTGAAAGGCTTTTTTGGGGGGGGAGCAGGTTTTTTTGCATATTAAGCAGAGCCGGGAACACTTTCCTAGTGTTCACCAATTTCAAGATACAATGAGAAGGGAAGAGGAAAGCCTCTTTTCATCAGCGCTGTGTCACCAGTGCACAAGCCACTGAAAACGACTTTCTCCTAGCAAAAGATCAGAAAAGGTGATGAGAACTTGTGAAGACGACTGCAAAAATGCACAAACCCACCCTAGACCTGCTATTTGGTGAGATCGAGGAGAGGAACTTTTTGTTCCATTTCTTATGTTCCAAAACTATGACTTTTTCACTTTTGTTGCGAACATTTTACAAAATGAAACCCTTCACAACCTTCATCTGTGTCAGTGGTTCTCAAACTATTGTACTGGTAACCTCTTTCACATAGCAAGCCTCTGAGTGCGACCCCCCCTTATAAATTAAAAACACTTGTTTATATATTTAACACCATTATAAATGCCAGAGGCAAAGCGGGGTTTGGGGTGGAGGCTGACAGCTGACGACCCCCCCATGTAATAACCTCGCGACCCCCTGAGGGGTCCCAACCCCCAGTTTGAGAACCCCTGATCTATGTGCTACAAAGATGTGATCTGAGTCTGAATCATGGGTGTATGCCAGTCACTTCATACTATATTTAATCAGATAGGGGCAATGTTTTGCATGGTTACTGGCAGATTGATTTTTCTTCAACAGGCCTTTTATTAACACTGCTGGATTTCACTAGCTAATTGTGCCTGCCGTGGGAGCAATCACAGAATGGTAACTTTGGTATGCAGGCAGGGCTGGGGGGAAAAGAAGTGGCTAGTATGTGTAAAAATACTGCTGGGCAAATGCTTTGTTAACATATTTACAGAATAACGTATCCTATTAATTTCATGAGATTTAAAAAATAAATACATTAAATTCTAAATTATTTGCCACCTCTAGTTGCGTATGTGGCGAAATTGAATTCCACTTTCAATTCAAATGGATACATGCCAATTTTATATATATCAGGCACAATTTGCTCAGCAGTAGTACAAAACTAATTTCAAATTGCTAGCTGCAGCGCTGGCCTGAATCTGTCTGTTACCCAGAACAGCCATTTCCCCTGCACTGAACAGTGAACTGATGAAGGCCTTTGACTTTGTGTGGTAGCAAAGTGTCCCGCTTAGTATGTGGTATATGGGGGAGGTTCCCCTTTCTGCTCTGAAAGCCATTAACATGGGAAGTCCTTCACTCTAGTGGGTACCACACAGCAGTTCCCAGCACTAGCTTGGTTTGGGGTCCAGGCTCTGGCAACACCAGCTCAGAGAGAGAGAGAGAGAGAGAAGGGCATGCAACTGGGGAAGGGATGAGAGAGTTGTCAGGTACAAGCAATTAGGGGTGGAAAGGCTGAGATATGGAGAGGACCTGCAGAAAGAGAGCAGGAATGTTTCTTCTCAGACCTGTGAGTCTGTTTTAGTTTACCTGTGGATTAGGATGAGCATTCAGCAGGCTTTGGCGGGAGAAGGGAAATCAATACACTGTCTTAGGAAAATAACAGTGGACATTAAATTGGGAGTGGACATTAAAGTGGAGGAAAATAGACATAATGGCAATACAGACTGTGCACAAAATTGTCTGATTTATCAGAGAGATTCCACTCTTCAGTTCAGAGCTCAGAGGCCAAATTGACTCAATTACAGCAGCGTAAATTTGGAGTAGCTCCATTCACGTCAGGGGAGTTGCAAGGACACTGGTTGTAACCAAGAGCAGAATATGGCCTACAGCTGCTAGCACCAGTGACTTATGTTTGCAAATCCCTTAGTGTATTCTCAGCCTGAGGTACTGGATATTGGCTGTGCAGCGCTCTATACTGTGAAGCGCAAGAATTCAAAGCTCTTGAGACAGGTCTCCACAAATGAAATTGGCTTAAAATTTAACACATTTTGGTTTCTTTTTCTTTGCTTTCTGGTTTTTGAACCTCTGTGCTGTACATGGGTTCATGTTTTCAAGCTTGGCTCTGCAACCGTGAAGGCTAGGAATTTTCTTTGTCTTTCTTCCTTTCTTCTTTTTTTTGTGGAAAGCTGAGATTCTCATGTAATGACTTGAATCCAGGGACTGGGTCCTTAAGAAAAAATACAAAATATTGCAAGATTTGCAACAGAATCACAACAGCTGGCAAGAATAATCTCTGGTAGTGTTCATGTGAGCCAGAACCCTGTGAATCATGCTGAGAATACCCCAACTGACTCAGTCAGTGGAAGAAGGAAAATGACTCAAAACCTCCCTCACTCCCCTGGATGGCTGGGAATGGAATTGCCCTGAGGCCATGTGAAAGGAGTGCTTTGGGTCACTCTCTGGTGAACACTGACAATAATCCTGGTGGTATCCCTGGGGGGCCCTCAGCCACTTCTCCAATGGAGTTGTAGTAGCACTGCAGTGATGCCAGGGTGAGGGGTATGAAGTCTGGAAAGTTTGCATTTTTTTTTTAACATGAAAAATCTTTCCACTGAAGGTAGGCAGCTGGAAGCCTTCAGAAGCACATCTGAACTTTGTGAAGATGACTACTGACCCTTCACTTTGCCACATGCTAAAGGAAATAATCTGATCTTGTGTAGGTAATTCGGTTCATGTGGTTTTCTTGGAGCTCTCCAGGTGAAGTTTGAGCTGCTTTGGCTGCAGCAGGGCAGCTTTGGAAACTACAGGGAATGTGGTGGCTTTTCCCTACATGTATTGAGGGAAGTTTCTCCATCTGAAAGAATTGTGAATAAACCTCTTTCATGAGAACCACCACCAGAAGGTGCGGGAAGGGCAGAGGCTGAAACAAAAGCAAACACATATCTTACCAACCTGAAAAAGGGCTTCTACTGATGGGGGAAGGGACCTCCTCAGATCTGACGTGACATTTAGTAAGATAAATGGGCCTAAGAAGCGATCCAGGGGAATGAGATTCTGATACAGTGTCAGGGGGACTGAATTATAGCTGTGTACATTGAATCTTAAGTCTAGTCACTCACCATATGTTCTTCATCATACTAAATAGACACCGTCAGTCACAAGTATTTTTAGGGACGGTTGGTTAAGTCACTATTAATGCTGGAATATAATGTGATTGCTTAATGATTGAGAGAGAGAGAGTGCATGTATGTAAAATGCTGTTGTCTTTTTTATTATAATTAATAGATATGCCTTAAAGCTTTATAGACAATTTAAAAAATTGTGGGTTTTTATATTTTCATGTATTTAAAAATGTTATGATTGCATATTGTGCCATTCTAGTACCTAGAGTATTTGCATAGCAAACATTTTGCAATAGTGATTTAATCTCTGTAGAAATATGCAGCAGAATATTTTTCCAACTCTCAGTGTCACTGGTGTCAGGATATAGTGTAGTTCACCTGCAGAATGGATTTTCTATATTGGATGTAGGGATTAAACTAAAAGCTGCAAGTAAGCATGACTTAGCACACTCACTTTTTCCTGCTTCTTTCACAGAAATCGGGAGTTAGACTGTGAGTTGGATAGCTCCTCTACAGCCATCTTGATAACTGTCCACCATGACTGTTGCAACAGCATAAGCCTCAAGCTTCTATAGAAACAGCCATTTAAATGTTAGCTTCGTATATAAATCATCAAGGATATACGTGGGAAATATCCTATATCATTCTGTGCATGTTGCTTGATTCAATTTTCGTTTGGATAAATTCATTATATAGTTAAGTCCCTCCACTGACTTTTACACCTGGGAGTTGCCTCTTTAACAATGGCTACCAGCAATTCCACTGAAAACCACCAACTGCAGGCTAACTCTTATCTGTGGGCCAGAGGTTGGCCTAGCTATGGCTGCTTTGCACTGCTCTGGCAATGCAAAGCAACAATAATGCTGGCTTAGATGGCTTGTGAAGGATTCCACTAGCATGGGGGATTCCTGAGTGATACCGAGCTGCTGTAGCTGCTCCTAAACTAACTCCTTTACTGGTCCTCGGTGTAGGGGGCATGGCTGGGGAAAATTTTTTATAAGCTGGCTAAGGTGTAAAAATTTTGAAGGAAACTAACTCATTAGCATGATATGAAAAACAGGGTTGTAAAGACAAAGAGAGAGAAAATATAGTCTTGTGGCTAAGGCATTGAACGGGATCAGGAGATCTAGGTACAATTCCTTGCTCTGCCACAGATTTCCTCTGTGACCTTGGACAAGCCACAGAATCTCTCTGTCCCTCAGTTCCCCATCTGTAAAATGGGGATAACAATACTTCCTTTGTCTGTCTTGCTTATTATAGGCAGGGGGCAGCCTTGCCTATTATTAAGTGTACCAGGCATTTTGCATTATAAGTCCCTGTTTTCACTTACTTATAACTTTGTCAAACTTCAACCATCTGGGCTGACATTTTCCCTACTGGATGTCTGCCTCAGACTGAATTTGTTTGGAAAATTTCAGCCAAAATGGGTCAGCCATTTCTGGGAACGAGGCTATGGAAAAATACTTTGTTTTGCTCATGTTAAATTCTTGAGACCTTTTCTCTGAAAAGCTCTAACTCCCCTTTGGAGCAAAGACTTGAAATTTGGCAGGAGATGGCCTTTCTGTCAGGGATTGTGCCTTTGCCATCCCCATGAAAATCTGCCTCAATTTGGCCATGTTATAGGCCTTTCAAAAAAATCACAGTAACATCTATGAAACCCACTGGCAAAGAGTCCCATCTCCCTCTTCTGCTCATCCACGTATAGGATGACAACCTACTATTGCTATCAGTTACTTCAGGTCCATGCGGTTGAGTCCATCCCCGCTGACAATGCACGTGGGTGTCATTTTGATGCCACATGATGGAATTTCTGTTTTTTCAGTTCGCGTTTTTTTTTTTTTTAACAAGGATATTATCCATAAAAACTACATTAAAATAACATTACTAAGTTTGCAAAGTCTAGCACTCAAAACCAAGAAAATGCCAGAATTAAGGTTGCCTGTGCATATGCATTATGTGAGAGTCTTAAATGACATGATTACAAACTATTTTTTCCACAGCAACCCTGCCCCATTCAGTGCACAGGATAGACAGTCCTCACTTGATGAACTGCTTATTTAAGATTTTGTTTTCTCCTTCTTGTTCACTATGTGGCCCCATGTATTATTTACTGTGTTGGGGCTTCTCAGGGCTACTGTAATATAATTATAATAAACCAATTAATAATAATTTTAAAAATATTTACCCAGCCCTTATATTTCTTGAAAATCCAAGCAACTCAGTGATGAAAAGAAATACATCCGAATGTTAAAATGAGTGTTTGAGACTGAGTTCACATAGCTGCATGGTTGTACTAAATGCCTTTAGAATGGCCCTGGTAGCAACATTTTCTGGAGTTTCATTGAAAAAATCCAAAATTTTCCCCAAAACCCCCAATTATATTTGATGAAAAATTCTGATGAATTGAAAAGGCATTTTCTGTTTAAAAATGTTTTGATGGAAATGTTTCGACCAGCTCCAGTATTCCCTTCCTTCAGCGCCGGTGCTACCATTTAGGCAAACTAGGCGGTTGCCTAAGGCGCCAAGATTTGGGGGCGCCAAAAAGCGGTGCCCCTAATTTTTTTTTTTTTACAGCATTCCTACGCCCCCTCCCCAAGCGCGCCGTCGCTGCTCCACTTCTCCTGCCTCCCAGGCTTGTGGTGCCAATCAGTTGTTTGGCGCCGCAAGCCTGGGAGGGGAGGAGAATTAGAGCGGGGGCGGCGTGCTCGGGGAGGAGGCGGAGCAGAGGTGAGCTGGGGTGGGGAGCTGCCGCACGGCTCACTGGGGGTGGGGGGAGGGAGCTGCCGGGGGGAGGGGGCGCCTCAGGGCAGGGGGGG